TATGTTAATGAGCATTTATCGAGCTCTACCGAGTCGAGCTCGAGCTAGTTTATTTTTATTCAAGCCGAGCTCGAGCTAAAAAATTAATAAACGAGCCAAGCTCAAGCTAAGCAAAAACTCGGCTCGACTCGGCTCGTTTGCAGCCCTACCGGTTATGTATTCACTCTTGGGAGTTCTGTAGTGAGCTGGAAGGCAACTCTGGAGTCGGCGGTGACATTGTCTACTACTGAGGCAGAGTATATGGCGTTGACAGAAGCTGTTAAGGAGGAAATATGGTTGAAGGGACTGGTTGGTGATTTGGGTCTACATTATGATTAGGCAGTGGTGTATTGCGACAGTTTGAGTGCAATATGCTTGGCCAAGGATCAAGTCCACCATGAGAGGACTAAGCACATCGATGTAAGGTATCATTTCTTGAGGACAGAGAAGAGGATTAAAGTGAAGAAGGTTGGCACCGCAGATAATCATGCTGATATGTTCACGAAGCCGGTTCCACATGGTAAGTTCCAACACTGCTTGGACTTGCTGAATGTCTTGAGTGGGTGACTCCGCCCTACGGGGCATTGATGACAGGAGAGAGAGAGAGAGAGGAGCAGAGTACATCAAAGATTTCAGAGGATGAGGATTCAAGTCAAGGTGAAGATTTGTTGATGTGACTTGAATCGGACTATCAACCGCTACGACTGGAAAAGTACTATAAATACTTCTCATACTCCTCTGTAATCTCCTCGATATAGTGAAACTAGCTCTCTCTCGCCCGTGGACTAGCTAACACACATCGTGTTAGTGAACCACGTAAATTGTGTATCTGTGTTTTTTCGATTCTCGCTTTCGTATTCTTACTTTATCGATTCCGTCGATTTTCCAGCGCGTTTATAACCGTATTAGAGGATGGTCGATATAAAATCAGTGCGATAAGTCAATTAACTCACTCATCTCAAAATATTTGTTTTTTATATGATAAAATAATCAAATTAACAGTAGGGAGTTGGGACCATCAAATCATCAATTGGAACAATAGCCCACATATCAGAATTTCAATCGTCCATAATATATTTTTGGTTAATGTATGTTGAAGTTCGTTTCTTGGACTAGGCCACGACCCATTTTGGAGTGGAGATGGTTTGGGTCGCAGAGCACATAATACCCACAGCAAAGGGAAGAAAAGGCTGAAGCAGCAGGCCCAAGCCTACATGTGTGAGCAGGCCGCCGCTGCCATGATGAACTCCTCTCCTCTATTTGTCCCAAACAAAATTGCCTGACAGCCCTAACTCAATGAGCCCATTACCAAAAGGAGATGGTAATATTTTTTTTTTTTTGGTTTCACCAACTCCTTACACAGTAACTTTTCCACATTAGGGAATTCAAATTTACCGCGACCGCCGCTGCGAATTTCCCGGCAAGCAGTAAATACGCGCGCTCCGCCGCCCGAATCCGAGCAGTTCAAGAGCGCTTTCTCGTGGCCTCAACCACGTCTTTCCGCTGCCGCTGCCGCTGCCGCCGCCGGAGATTCCGATTTCCCATATCATCATTCCAATTTTATGACCTATTTTGTCTCGTTTTCCCAACAACCCAATCAGTACGCTCCAAAAGTTGCACCTTTTCGGCATCATGCAAATTCCCTTCTCTCTGCACTCGACCCAATGTGGACCTTGCTTCTCTTCTTGCGCCTAAATGGTCGCTGTTCTAGTTTGATTCTCACAGCAGGGCTCTGAGGGTTTCTTTCCCCCCCCCCCCCCCCCCCCCCCCCCCCCCCCGGAAGAGAAAGGATACATAGAATCCTACCGTGGCCGATTGGGTGGTAACTTTACTAGTCTACCTTGTTTCATGGGTTCTTCGATTTCTCACGTTCATACATTAGGGAATTGACGTTTTGGGAACTGGAGGGGATGCCCATTCGAGTACTGGCTTGTTGACCAAAATGTGAAAGCGGCAATTGAATCTATGTGTTTATTAATTAGTTTCTTTTCCAAGGACACTGAAATTCAATTTCTTGCCCGTCTCATGTTAGAAAGCAGAACCAGAATGGTAGTGGTGTCCTATTCCTTTATCTGTGCCGTTAAGTTTGTTCTTGCTGAATTTGAATGGACTTTTTGTTGGTATCTCTTAGAATAGGAAAGACCCTGAATGGCATGTTATGCGATAAGTTCCTGAATCTAAATATGTGGCATAGGTTTCTCCAAACAAAGATGAATGCTCCGTTGGAGTCTACTTTGTGGGATATACTTGGTGTGATTGAACCTCAGCGGGATGATTGGCTGATTCGGCAAAGAATCGTTCAAGAACTACAAGATGTAGTAAGAACTATTCCAAATCTTAGAGGTGAATCTTAAATGTCACCCCAAAACTGCTGATGTTACTTGAAAGAGACGCCTTAGAATATGTATGCTTGTTTTTGTGCAAAGTTATTATGTTCCTTTAAGATGCTGTCTCAAGTTGACATGGAAATGTTACATCTGGATACAGGTGCGACTGTGGAGCCATTTGGATCATTTGTGTCCAATCTATTCACTCCATGGGGCGACTTGGATATTACTGTTATGCTAGATTATGGTTCTTACATTTCAGTTGCTGGGAAGAAGAGGAAGTTGTCTTTACTTGAGGATGTCTTAAGAGCTCTGAAGGAGAAAGGTATTGGCCTGTCACAGTTAACCTGATCAGAATCCGACCCTTCATTTCATTTTCGATCTTCAGTTTACATCTGATGGACCTTGTTGATTTAATTACCTGCTTCTCATCCAGACCTCAAGGAAATAAATCATGTATTGAATAAAACTGGATATCCAATTTGTTCTAGATTAACATGCTCCATTTAACGAAAAATGTAGTACCTTCTTGAGTTTAACTTCATCATGCTGAGAAATCGATGTAATAATATCACTTTGTTTATTTTAGTTCCTTAACCTTCCTCTGTTTTTCTTGCATGTAACATGACTATGCGGTCAAGCTCTTATTGTTTATGTTTGTTCCCCTTTTCGAGGCTTTAGCTTGAATGATCTGCTTGACTGCTGCAGGTGGGTGGTGGAGGTTGCGATTTATCCCAAATGCAAAAGTTCCCATTTTAAAATTTGAGAAAGGATGCCCTGCCATTTCTGGTGATATTTCAATTGACAACCTTGGGGGCCAGATGAAGTCCAAATGCTTGTTCTGGCTCAACCAAATAGATGGACGGTTTCGTCCATTGGTGTTACTGGTACTGGATCAGTTCCCTAGAAAATGTGCTTCTGCAGAAGATATGCAACCATTTGAATCAATTTTCCTCCTAATTTAGGTTAAGGAATGGGCCAAAACTCATAACATCAACAATCCGAAGGGTGGGACACTTACCTCATACTCCTTTAGTTTGCTTGTGGTCTTCCATTTTCAGGTGATTTCTTCTCCTTTCACAATATCGTTGTGATGGCCCGTGGACATGAATTTTGCATTTTTAGTTGTTGGTTGACACTCTCCGTCCCTTGCAAATGCAATCCTTGCCTTTTGAGGGCTTTATTGCCGGCATGGGTGTAGGACCTTTTTTTCTAGTCTAAGCTTGTTGATTCATCGTTTAAGGTGTTCCATTTATTTTGACCATACTCGTTATTGCCGGCATGGGTGTAGGACCTTTTTTTCTAGTCTAAGCTTGTTGATTCATCGTTTAAGGTGTTCCATTTATTTTGACCATACTTGCTCCACCTTTTGTGGGCTTTGTTGCATAGATGCTGTAGCACTTCATCATCATATGTACTTATTTGGGTGGTTATTCCTTTTTCTTCAATTTAAATGTGTGCAGACGTGTAAGCCAGCAATCTTTCCTCCACTCCTTGCTTTATACCCAACAAATGCTCTCGATGACCTTACAGGTGTGAGGGAAACTGCTGAACAAAGTATCTCCGACCTTTTTCATGCCAACATAAGAAAACATATAGCAGGCAGATCCAGAACCATGAACAGAAGTTCTTTGTCTGAGCTTTTTGTTTCCTTTCTAGCAAAGGTAATGAATAGTTCTTGCACTCATCTTATTGTTACTAATCTGTCATCTTAGTGACTAGCCTTCCTTTCTTCTTCCAGTTTTCAACCATAAGTCTGAAGGCCCGAGACTTTGGAATTTGCCCGTTTACTGGGCAGTGGGAAGAGATAAAAAACAACACAAGATGGTTTCCCAGGACTTTTGCGCTCTATGTAGCTTTCTTTATCCCTCTTGCTTCTTCAGCATCATCTGCTTCTTTTTTACCTTTTATTTTTATTTTGGTGGGATGCTTCTTTTTACTTTTAATTCCCTTAACGTTGTTATATATGTTCAGGTAGAGGATCCGTTTGAGCAGCCAGCGAATAGTGCGAGGGCTGTTAGTGTTAGAAACCTAGACAGAATACAGGAAGTGATTCAGAGAACCCAACTTGCCATTTTGTCCCCAAATTTGAGTTGGATCGACATTCATCCGTTGCTGGTGAAGCCAGAGCTGAGTCGAGTAATCCTGTTTAGAAAGCAGAACCAGAATAGTGGTGGGCAAATGATGCAACTCCAACAGCAGCAGCAGCCACAGACAAGAAAGCATGTGCATTCTCCTGCACCGGTTATAGCAGCTCGGGTTCAGAATGTAAGGCCAGAGAATCAATTGAGAGGCTGGAGAGATGGGACTTGTCACATTCATGAGTTATCATCAAAGCCCAAGCAAGAGACGGCTTCCAATAATGCTGTCTCGAAAGAGAGTAATGCAAAAAAGTGGAGGAAGCGAGGGATTCAGCAGCAGCAAAGGGGGGATGTTTTTAATAGTAAGCAGCAGTTGTGGAGGCCAAGGTCACAACAAAGTTAATGCCTTCTATCCTCACAGCCCTAAATCATTTTGTTTCTTTGGCCATCTCTTGTAAGTTGTAAGCGTAATCGAGAACCGCCAATTGATGAATGAATGTGCAAGGTTGCCTTCTGCTGCTGCAGCTAACAACAATCTACCCCTGTTCACTCTTTTTGTTTTAAATTGTGAATCAACAGTTATAAAGTTTTTGTTCGACTTCGTGATTGAAATCTAGATATTATAGCTATATTGGGAACAGCAATACAGCACCAGAAATCCAATGATATGCTTCATAGGTAAGGTTTCAATATGGTTGGTAAAACAGGGAGAAACAAGCTGGGAACAAAACAAATACAACAAGAGTGAATAAAAGAATGAATCGCTCCAAGTTCCAACAGGTAATTAACTGCAAATATACAAGAACTTTAGTTTAATTTGCCCCCAATTTGACAAAATTGATCAAACAAACGTAGTCCTACACTTCACCACGAGCTTGACGTGTAGCTGGCGTTAAAGTCTACAATGTTACAAGGCTGTCCCTGTTTATGCTGCAGGATGTCTCAGCTGTTCAGATGTTTTAAACGCATCAGCTTCTGCAACCATCACAGGGAAATCTGTAAACTTCAGGATAATCTGGACCACCAACAATCTGTTGCCATGTCGTTCACTAGCCTCTGTGTGCTAGCAAGACGTAATTCCATTGACTTGTAGTCTCAGCTTTATCTCATCAGTTAACCTGGAGAGACCCTGAGTTCGTTTGTTTTAAGAACGCAGAAGGCGTTTATCACAGACCAGGATCCTATAACTTGCATGTGGTCCCTCAGATGTGTCATGTAATGCTGAATGCCAACCCATAGCATTCGCAATCTCCTGAAGTTCTTCCATGACATCAAGGGTGTCTCGGATATATGCTCGACCACCAGGTCTAAGTATCCGATCCATCTCGAGCATGATTGTAGACATGTTACATCTGACACAAAAGATAAAAGGAAGCACCAAGTCTGAGAAGCAAAAACAGCCTTGAGTATGTTCTACAAGAGAAACGAAGCTTGACAAAGGAAGTTGTCACCTTTTCCTTTCAACAGAAAAAAGCCCAGAAGCATGCAGTAAATCATAAGTTCTCGGGTAGGTGTCAAAAGGCTCACACCTAAATACATCACAGGCAACATTGTTACTAAGGTCATTAAGTAAAATAATGAATTAAAAAGAAACCTTATTCAGAGTTTAGATTAGTACCAATCGTGCATAACACCTAGCAGTCCACGATCATATATGACAGGCAGGGTGTTTGGCCCACTAACAGGAACCACATTCATAACCCAGCTATTGAATCCATGATCAATTAGTGCTGCAGCAAATCTATCAGAACAGTGGGGTAAACAGCATAATTTTGCATTCAGATAATTAAGTAAAAAAATATCAAGGAAATTAGTTGGAACAAGCATAGGATAGACAGGATGGATACCCTCCAAAACCGGCCTTCATGTCTAAGACATTTCTGAGTTTAAGCTGCTTCCAATGCCAAGCACGGACATAGCCAGATATAATTTCAGACCAATATTTTGATTCCGCCTTGAAAAGCTCTTTCCTGGAAATGTAAGCATCCATTTGTATACTCTGAAGCCTATCAGGAGGCGTATGTAAACGTGCAGGCCATGCAGTCACATTTGCTCCATATCCATTCTCAGGAATGCGAGTAATGCATGGCTTCAAATCAGCATACCTAACACGAAACATTTTCATCAGCATAAACAAGTTAACCATTGGGAACAAGTTAGAAGAAGCAGTTCACATGCAATGGAGGTTTCTATAGATTATCAAATTTGAGCTGCATATAATTCCCAATAAATATCATTCAGTGTATGGTATTTGAAGTTTTTTGCTATAAGTTATTTCCGAAACCAAAGCAATATTTGATGTCAGAAAGAAATAATACCAAACTTTATCAGGATCATCATCTTGATCACACAATGGAGGACTAACTCCCTCATCTCGGCTTAAATAGCAGTTATTATTCTTGGGTTTCTGCCATATTGCAATATATCCCTCTTTCTTTACAAGCTCCCAGCAAAGTCGAGTTGTAAGGTTAAGCATCTCTGCAAAGAGATACAAAAAAAAATATATATAAATATTAACTACACCGGTTCAGTATGAAGGAGACAACAAGGACATCATGATCATCAGGTAAAGTAATTTGCCAACTCAATTTTAACAAGAATATTACTTCAAGAATATAATAATCACTTAAACTGATGATTTTTATCTGCTTTCAACTAACTGAGGTGATACCTTCCCACTGTTCCTCTAGCGCTTGCTCATGCTTGTAAACAGGCTGCGCAGCCCAAGCAAAGTATCCTCCAGCTCGCATCATCCTGTTGACCTCAAGTAGCAAAATTCCATCTTCAAAAGAATAGTTAGCATAATCAGAAAATACAAACACTTGAAATTTCTCAATGCAAAGTCAAATAGCTATAAGATTAATGTCTCTGGAACTAATGGTGAGATGTGAAACAGATAGAGGAAGCTGACATAGCAAGGTGACCGGCCACAAAAAGTTTTTTTAGACAAGTTTTAACATGCGCAGAGGCAAATTTACATTGTCATTAAGCTAGGGCTAGTACTGCTAGAAGAACACAGACATTGGGAAGAACATTTCATCTTTATGCCTTGGGCTTTCCCACTACAGAAAGAAGCAATCAAAGGACGGGCAGACATACATACCATCACGAGTCCAATTGATTCTACATCTTGAACAATGGATGATTTCGAAGGCCTGACTTGGATACAGCAAACGATGGGTTGCAAAAGCAGCTACCATAGCAGGGACGCCACGCTCAAGAGCAAATTGGATCTGGTTCTCGTGAACATCCTTGGGAGCTATCGACAAAGGTACAACATCCCTTGACAGTAGATATGCACCAAAACTTGCTACACCGCATCCGACATCCAAAACAACTCGTGTGTAATTACCAAAAGCAATATCTGGGACCATCTGCAGAAAAAAAAAAAAGAAAAAAAACCACATAATCAAAGCTTAGTAGACTAGGAATGTAAACGAATTTTACATTCAAACTAATATTATGAGAGACGACTTAACAGACTTTTGAAATTTGATCCAAGTACTGATCTGCGCCATGAATGAACTGCGTTCCACCACCAGGGAACCTGAACTTGTCCTTGGCTTTGGTAATCCAGTTCTGACCTCCTTTATCATCAACCAAACGTGTGTGGGGTACATTGGAAAACCAGACCTAAAAGAGAAAAGCAAAGTGCTATCAGAATCCTCAGCAAGATAACCAGACCAACCAACTATCATTCCCTATCCTTTTGAGCACCTAACAGCTTCCCAAAATTAAACTCGGCCAACTAAATACAGTGAAAAGGTTCAGAACAGCTCAAATATCGTATATTTTGCCGTCATTTTCCGCCATAGTTTCGGTTCAGCATACCTCATCACGACTCCGGGGCCACGGAAGTGGTTGGCGATACCCTTTGGGCGGCGGAACCAAGCAGTTCAATTCTTTCTCCTTCTCAGGACAATGCCGCTCAAATCTCTCCCCTTTCTCCGTCGATTTCAACTTCTTGATTGCCTCTACATTATCCAAACATGGAATGTACTCTCTCATGCTCTCAGGGCATAGCTCGAATCTCTTAACCTTGGCCCTAGAACCCTCACCAGCTCCACTGTCGATCTCAGTCTCATTCCCCCAATTCTCCACAACCTCCGGATCAACCTCCCCGACTTCAAAATCATCGCTCATCTTCCCATCCCCATCAATAATGCCAAACGTCCGATCCAATTCCTTCGCCGGAGGCGGAGGAGGCTGCTCCACAGCCGCTGAATCACTCGCCGGCGACGTGGAAGCCGGAGGCACGGGCACCTGAGTGGGTTCAGGCTCGGATACGGTGTCGGTCTGATTCTGGGCGATCAAAGCAGTGACATTAAACGACTTGCCGTAGTTGGGGGAGACTCCGACTGAGGTTCCTGGTGAAGACGAGAAGAAGAGCACCTGCTGGTCGCCATTGGAGCTCCAGTGCTTGCCCAGGTAGAAAAAAGTGAGGGTAATTAAAGTGAAGCCAGCGATCTTGAGGACGAGAGGGGTCTTGAAGAGATCCAAACCCGCCGACGCTTTCATGGTGTTGTCTGGGATGGAGGATCTATTCACTTGATCTGTGAAATTTGGTAATGAGTAGCATTGGGTTTGTCACGGGACCGCGATGGCCACGGCGAGGGTGGCGGTGGTGGAGAGTGAGGCGAGCTATGGATTTAGCAGGCAGGATCCGTGGGCTTTGATTTGATGGTGAAGTAGTGACGAAGTAACACTGTTGTTGTGAATTTGTGATTGAGGTAGGACTTAGGAGGCAAGATGAGATTGTTGTTTACTGAATCGCTATTCGTCGTCCTAAAATTTAAATTATTTCGCACTAAATTATACTAAATTAACGTTTATACCCCTGTGCAATATCAATTACTAATCGCTAACTCCGATTGCAGTTTAACCCACCAACCATCCGACTACCGCTGCCATTCCTCGAACCCACCGCCGCACCCATTTCCCCACTCCGCCGACCTGCTGTTGCTGAGGAAGGAAGAAGACTCCATAAGGTTCTCTCGCCATTTTTTTCCTTCTTCCTCTTCTTCCTTGTCATTCAACAGCCAAAAGATTTCCTTTCTCTTCTTCCTCCGTATCCCTACCAATTTTACTCCATAAATTCTCTTATCGATCAATCATTATCCCCTCAACTGCCAAAAAGCGACGATTTGGAGGGAGGGGTTCCGTTTCGCTTTCTCCCATATTTAGATGGCGGTGGGTGCAATGGCGATCGTCGTCGGAGCCGCGGTGGTGCTGTACTACTCATTGAGTCGGAGATTGGTGGCCAACGACGTCGGGGTTAATGGGGTACGGCGACTAGGGCGATGGATTGGCGACGGTTTTGGGTTTGGGGTAGAATCCTCTGTTTGGTATGTTTAGGCGAAAATTTTAAAAAATTAAACGAAGGATATTTTAGTAATTTTAATAAATATTAGGGCGACGAATAAGGTATTTTAGGGCGACAAATAGCAATGCCGGTTGTTTATGGGTGAAATGCTTTTATGGTCACTTAACTTCTTCTCGGTCAACAGAACGATCACTTAATTTTTTTATATTAAAGTCATTGAGCAACTTATCACATTCGTCTCTGGAAAGTTGGGGTGGAGGCGTAAAATCGAACTCATTTACATTTACTCGTTGGAGGAGGTAGGGTAGATGAAAGAGTTCATAGATTAATCGATTACAATTATAACTGAAACAAACCGATTAACATGCTATAAATTAGGTAGAGAACTTGACCAACAAACCAATTATTTTGTTAGGTATTCATAATTTTGACGATGAAGTATTTTCCCCTAAAAGTTTAATAATTATTTAATAAATAAAGTGTTAGGATCAGTGACAAACCCAAAAACTTTATTAAGGATATACAAAATTCATTAAGGATTGTCAAATAGTATAGTGTCTCAAATCTCAATACTATCACCACTAAAATTAAATTTTACAATGGTTTTTTACCAATTGTGGATCTAAGAATTGCCAATTGATAACCCTTTCACTAGCTTGGGTTCGCACCTGGCCATGATTAGAGGTGTAGATCGGATTGATTCATACTGAACCGCATTGGATCAAATCAAATCATATCAAACAAAATATAATGTGATTCAATTCTCAATCACATAAACTTTGTAAACACTAAAGAAAAATGGACACAATTAATATCTGAAATGGACCAAATCAGACTAAAAATATTGTTGATTCGATCTTTAATTGTAAAATATTTTCACTAATTGATCGCAAGTGTCATAATTTTGGTTAAGTACAAATAGTAAATTTGTCAAAATGCCGAGTTATCTAGATAATAAATAAAAGCCGAATGATGAAAACTGTTGCTCCATTTCAAATTTCCTGCAACGAGAGTGATTATAGGAAGGACATTTTGGTCTTCACAATTGCTTATTTTCCTATTTATTTATTCATAAAAAAGGCATGCACTGGGATTTGAACCTTGGTCTCTTTAAAGGCAAGCAAGGATCATAACCAATCACACTAAGTATATTTATTGTATCTATTTAAATTCAAACATACACGAACCTAAATTATGAAAATCATATGACTTTTTTAACGATTAGTTGGCCACTGAATCTCCCGTAAGTACTTATTTGGTGTTTTAATACTTTGATTATTTTAGTTGTAGTTTAATACTTAATTTAAATTTCTATCTATTTTATAAATATACAATAACCGTAACATTGCAGCCCAAATATCACTGGTTCGAATATTGCATATCGAATTGCAATATTAAACATGTAGAAGCAATATCGACTTCTTAAATTAATATTATTTTTCAGAATTACTATGGAGAAATTATATCTTTGTGCAAACTATATGAGACTGTTTCTTTTAATGTTTTAGTCGGGATAACCTCTACATTTTAAACTTCTTCATAATCTGGCATGATTGGATCCAATGATCATTATACAAGATTGTGTTTAATAGGGTGGCTCATTTCACCACTTTTTGGCGTGTTAATGAATTTGTAGGACAATGACAGGTCTACATCTACACTCATCACAATCTACACATCATATAAATGTGAAATGAGAAAAGAGGGATTCCATTTCAAATTTGATGCGTACAGAGCAATTTTTTAGGGGTAAATTTAGAAGATGCCAGTGCGGTCGGTCTGTTGAGCACGAAAGTAAAAATATGTTTTCATTTAAATGGGCCCAAACTGTTATTTGGCCCACTAATCGTGCACCCATCGCCAATGCAGTCAAATTCGGGATTTTGATCGTAAAATCGTAGGATTTTAGGATTTTACTTAGGGATTCCGATCTTGATTTTAATATAAAATCGGTGGACCTTAAAATCGGGACTAAAATCGTTAAAATCATAAAATAGTACCGAAATCGGGATTTTGATCGTAAGAGAACAAAATAGGTGGTTTGAGCCAATTTAAAATAAGTATAACTGTTTCAGCGGAAAGGGCAATGGAATCTTCTCATATATTTTTCTATTAGAAAAATATTCAAAAATAATAAAAATAACCAAATTAGGGTTCGGTTAATCTCTTTCCCTTCACCCCATTTAACTTATTGGTAAAACACCTGTCCTAATAGTGGAAGTATGTAAGAACTAACATCATTATTAACTAATTAATTTATCAATGAATATATTTGTACCAAGCCACTAACATTACTTATTTTATTGGAGTTCAATTATTTTTAGTTTTAAATCATACTTAGTAGACGATGTCGAAATATTACTTTGAGTTAAACAACCTAGACATAACATGAAAATAAGAGCCAAACCCATGAACTATATCCCTTCATCATGAATTATTTTGAGTTACACATTAAATAACAATTAAAATAGTGATTTTGGAACATTAATCTTGAGAATTATCTTATGAAAAAAATCTTCTGAATTATTATTTTAAATGCTATGTGTCTTTGTGATATTAATAATTTACCTTATTAATATTCTTATATGCTATGTTCTATATGGTACTTAAAATCCTACGATTTTACGATTCGATTATACGATTTTGATTTTACCCCAGTTTTTGATAAATCTCGATTTTAACTGCTTTGCCCATCGCAGCCTCTCCAAATCTTCCTATTCTACTCGCCGGGTCATCTCCTCCACTACAAAATATCTCCTCATGTACTCAAAGTTCTCACTGAAACTTAATAACTACAACTTAGGCGCAGAGGGAGCAACTGATGGATTGTAGCGACCCCCACTATTTTGATAGCTAATCAAGAAGAGCGCGTTTGTTTAGTTGTATGGTGATTCACTTAACTAACAATTTTTATTCCGTTGACAGCGTCCTCTCCGCAATTGTATTGTGTTCACGAAGATCTGAAGGCGCAAGTGCAACAGGTCTAGGGGTCAACAAAATGTATAAAGCGTTGGCCAAATTGAATTGAGTCATTCTACTTGGAATATGAAGATTTTTGCTTAATTGCTTTGGTTCGTGATGCAACTATGTTATGTTTGAAGGTAGACCAACGCAAACAACAGCACAGCTCCAGGGCTATTCTGCAAATTAGGTAGTTGGGGCATTAATTGATAATTATTTGGGATTATTCCTACAAGTACATAATTTGGAACGTGCCATTATATTGCATTGATTAATAGTTGTTTGAGATTTTTCAACTGAGTGATTTGACATGTTAAACTCTCTTATTTTTGAAAATGGAGTCTTCGAAGTGGAATATGAAGATTTTGGATTAAGCTTGGTTTCGTAACGCCCTTATGGGTGTTTATTCTCTAAAATGCAGCTGGCTTTCAAAGTGCCCGTTGCAAATGGCAAGTCAGGATACAACGATGGTACCGGTACACGTTTATATCATTAGTAGGTAGCAGATTGTGTCCATTCTACTATATCATTTAGCTAAATACTTAGTTGTTCTTTTCAACTAAAAATTATGCTTAAATGCTGTGATTGGCCTCAGAAATGTATGTCTTTGCATTAACTGTTAATGATTGTGAGTTTTGGTTTAATGGTGAAAAGTCCATTTATTTAGAAGTCTAAATTGGGCAAACCTATTGGACAATAGGAATGCCATACATTAGTGTCGTGGGAGGTTTGTTTGATGTCTCAGGGTGTTAGATTTTTAAGAAGGTTGTTTGTTGTGGCAGAGAGTCCCTAAAGCTAGCGAGGTATTCCTATGTGGGCTTTTTCTTTGTTTGACTTTTTCTCGCCTTTTTTCTTGTATCTTTCTCTATTTTTGGTTTTGTGTGCTACCTTCAGTTGCTACGTCTTCATTTGTGAGCCATCTATACTTTTCTTATTCAGTGCCTAAAAATCATATATACTCGATTGCATAGTAGTTACTAATAGATACATTTATACCAATAGAGAGATTTTAAGTTTTATTAGTTGTTAGTTTTAATATTTACTTACATTGGTTGTTTATGTAGTTTTCTTTGTAATATTTCTCATTATACAACTAATTACTATGGCTACGTAGTTGTATAAGTGGGGGTTGGACATGATAGTTCTTAGAAGCATCAATACTTGAAGGTTATTATAATGACCAAATTCTAAAGTTATGGTTTGCCTTCAACTTGCTTGGAGCATTTCAATTATGCATCAATTGTTCTCTTCGTGTAGTTAACTCTCAGACAAATCGAAAATCTTGCTGATATGTGCTTGATTGTAGTTAAATTTAGGGTTCTACTGCATTGTTGCTTTACTCTTTTTTCGTGGTTGAGTCTGCTTCAAAAAATTTAGTTTGATTTTAGAAAATTTTGCTTCTGCAGTCCTGTCTTGCCACCAACGCGTTCAATAGATGGAGACGGGAGAGGCGAAGGCTATTTTTGTGTTGTTGCTGGTTTAGGGATCGGTTTGTGAAGAAGAGGGAGAAGAGAGGGGGAAAGGGAAATGCAGGAGAGGGGGATAACTCTTTTCTTCGACAAAAATGGAGTGAAGAAAGGAATTATGATCAGTAAGAATATGGTTATCTTACATAACGGTCTCTATTCTGTTTGAATTGAGCTTGAGAGGCAGTGATAAGGACGAGCTGCAACCAATTCATAGTGAGAAGAGAGCTATGAACTGTGATCATGTCTTATTTCAAGTTAGAAGGTAGTTTCAGTATAAGGATTATTTAATTTGACAAGTTGTTTCGTCCATGATTCTTGGTAGTTTCAGTGCCATTCTAGCCAATGTTTAGTCTGTAATTTTTGAGAATTGATGTGCGAGTAATGACTTTCACTTAGCTTCAACTATTATGTGTGTATTTATTGGCATGTGATAGAATTCTCTTTTCCTTTTCATTGAATTCATTTTCATACTCTAATTGTATTATTTGTACATAGGCAAATCATGCTCGAGATGGCAACTCGCTGATATGGCTGGTGCAAGGAATGAAGCCATCATTAGAATTCAGACCGACAAAGGGGAGGGACGCCCAGGACTAATTCAATGATGATTGATGATGGTATAATAAAAACTGCAGTTTGCATCAGCACCAATTTCTAGGCCTAAGTAAAGGTATTCAACCCAGAACTCTGCTTAGCGCTAAAAATTGCCCTCACCCAACCTTGATCCTGTTTGACCCACTTCTGAAGAGTCAAGATATATGACTAATCCTCCCCATTCGTATTTTTTTATTGACTCTTTCTGACCCTGTAGGTTGGGGCGGGTCGGGAAGAATTGGATTAGTGGGTCGGTCCTAATCAAGTGGAATCCCAATCCCTTCACTCTCACTTGCTTTCTCTCCCATTCCATAAGTGGGTAACATACAGTAATCCGGCCAACGGGCCGGGTAATAAGCTAGTTTATTTATAATAGGTAATAGCCCAGTAATTATTTATTAAGTTTTTTTTTCCCTCAGAATTTGTTTATTAAGTTGACCCGAGCAACAAAACAAGTCATCTTGGAGAAGAAAGTAAAAACCGACTCGAACCCGCAACCCGGCCACTTAAAACCACACCACCACCTCCATAGTCCATTCAATCGACGCCACCGGCCTCCGAACCGTAGCCCCCATTTCCCCCATTTTTTGGCATTTCTTTGCGAAGATTCCACCTTGTTTTTCTTCGTTGTCGCCGCTCCGGCCGTTGAATTTCCTCTCCGGTAATAATTCGTTCCTCCTCTTTCATAATTGCTCGCCCTAATTCGTCGGGGTTACCTCTCAATTTCTTCCTTTTCCAACACTCTACCCGATTTCGCGTCATGCGCTCATTTCTAGGGTTTGCTTCCGCTTACCCCACTGTATGAATTGAATCCGGCCGTGCTATTGTAGGTTCGAGAAAATTCGTTGAAAGTTTTGGCGGAAATTCCATGTCCCTCCTTTGATTCAGTTGGTATTGGTGTAAAGTCTGAAGCTTTGGACTGGAGGTCGGGGCGGTGTTGTGTTTATAGTCGCGTGGAAAAAGCATACCCCGCAATTCAGGCGCAAAATGTCTGATACGGCTGAAATGGTGGATGAGTTCAAGCCCGAGTTCGAGAAGGAGCCATCTTGCTCGAAGTCGGTGAATGAGACGGTGAATGGGTCGCACCAGTTCACCATAAAGGGGTATTCTTTGGCGAAAGGTATGGGGTCCGGAAAGTGCATTTCCAGTGATATTTTCACGGTGGGTGGCTATGATTGGGCGATTTACTTTTACCCGGATGGCAAAAACCCTGAGGATAGCTCCATGTACGTTTCGGTGTTCATTGCCTTGGCCAGTGATGGTACAGACGTTAGGGCGTTGTTTGAGTTGACGTTGTTGGATCAGAGCGGGAAAGGGAAGCATAAGGTGCATAGCCACTTTGATCGTGCTCTGGAGAGCGGGCCATATACATTGAAGTACAAGGGGAGCATGTGGTAATGTGCTTCTTTCGTCATTGTGTTTTGCTTTGATATTCAGTAGTTAGCAAGCTGTGATAATGTGACAGGATGTATTAATAATTTGCTATCATTTTAGTGTAACTGTTGGCATGTGCATTTGTTGTTATTCAATTGTTGAAACCTTGTTCTGAGATCAATGCAGGCTCATATAATATCGTCATTGTTGGACTACAGGGGTTATAAGCGTTTCTTCAGGAGAACAAGTCTAGAAACTTCAGATTATATAAAGAATGATTGCCTCATCATGAACTGCACCGTTGGCGTCGTTAGAACTCGTCTTGAAGGACCAAAGCAGTATTCTGTTATTGTTCCCCAATCCAGCATGGGTCAGGGCCTTAAGGAAATCCTGGAAGCTGAAGTTGGTTGTGACATTGTGTTCCGTGTTGGCGATGAATCATTTAGAGCTCATAAGTTGATCCTTGCTGCACGATCACCAGTTTTTAGAGCTCAGTTCTTTGGACTAGTAGGGGATCGTAACTTGGATGAGGTTACAGTGAATGATATTGATCCGACGATCTTCAAGGTACCCTCTGGTTTCTGGCCTCTATTTATGGTTCAGAATACTAGTCTGATTGGACGTGAGGCACCACTCTAACTTCTCATTTGAATTCATATGGGAAAATTATGCATCTATGTGTATCCATGTATGTTGACCTGCTGCGGCCTGTGGTAAATCTAACTTAAACAGAATACCAGGAGAAAGATTTTATATGAATATCATAATGCTGCCCGGTACCATTTGCAGCAATCTTTTGTTGTTGCTTTGCATTTCTTTTGGAACTGGATTGTATTGTACATGAGTACTGGTCTTAGTAGTCGTTTGAATGCCTTAAACAGCCTATTAGCATCTGGCTGCAAAAGTATGGACATCGTCGGTTGTAGGCTTGTAACAACTGTTTTGTCTCCTATTGGCTCATGGATAACCTTTTGTGTTTGATGCCAGAATCTGTTCTCTCTCTCTGTTTCTCTGTCTTTTGCTCTTATTTCCTTTGTTACTAGGTATATATGCCATTCTCTATTTACATAATGCTTTTATGCAGGCAATGCTCCTGTTCATATACACAGACAAAATTCCTGAAATGCATGATGTTATGGATTCTTCTTCATCCACGGGCACATCTACCAACATGATACAGCACTTGTTAGCTGCTGCTGACCTGTACAACTTAGATCGTTTGAAAGTGCTATGTGAATCAAAGCTATGCGAGGAGCTCACGGCTGTATCAGTAGCCACAACACTGGCATTGGCTGAGCAGCATCAGTGTGCGCAACTGAAAGCTGTCTGTTTGAAATTCGCGGCCAATCCAGCAAACTTGGGAGGTGCGTGTTCTTCGTAGGGCACTGAACAGTACAAGTTTCAGGTTATGTTAACTCCATCGTTTTGCAAGTAGATGCGATCTCTACATTTTTTCTATAGAGCATTATGCTTAGCTTATTACAACTATTGTTATCTTGGAATCATTGGAATGGTATGATTCTGCATTCACTGATACTTCATCTCACCTCTTTCTGAAAGGCCATAGAACTACATACTGTGTTTTTTCTGGTACTGGTATGCGTACCATAGTTGTTTATACTTGAAATGCACTTTTTATTTCATCACTGACTGTTTGTTCCAGCAAGAGGATAGGCCATGATATTAGGTCTTTTGCTATGATAGTGCCCTGCGGAGTTGTTAAAAGTAGAAACGAAAAGAAACTATTATTGAAACAAAGAATGCTTTAAATGACTTGTTATATGGCAATCTGCGCCACTGTTGTGTTTAATATCTTGTGCACGAATAGCTCCGCCATGGATCATTATCCTTAGGGATACTGAAAGTACCGTGAAGAATATGTAGTTTTAGATGATATCGAGAACATATCCAGGTACACGATACTGTTATGTGGGGGAGACTTTATGCTGCCCAGTAGTGAAAGCATATATCGTGGTAGTGTGTGGGGCATGTCTATATCCGCCTGATAAATCACTGATATACATGAGCCGTGTGTTTGTGTATATATCTGGCAGTGGTGACACAATCTGAAGGTTTCAGACATTTGGAGCAGAGTTGCCCGGCATTAGTGTGTGAATTGTTGAAGACACTTGCCTCAGCTGATGAGGACTCAAGCATGCATCCTAGCAGGAAGAGAGGAGGGAGCAGCATATTCGGCTTAGATATTGCTGCAGCGGGGGAAGCAGCAGATGATGGGGGTATGGCAGAATCTAGTAATCCGAACATGAGGCGCGTGAGGAGACGGTTCTAGACAGGCATGCATACGACCTATATATAGCTTAAATTGGGGAAGTTGTGGAGATTGTAAGATCCCTTTATCTAACTGGCACTAGTACTTTACCTAGGTTGGGCTGTGTTTCTTTGTATTTTGTTGCAAGTTTGTGGCCTGGGGGTAGTTCATGGCTTTTGAGCCAGGATATGTGGAATTGTAGCAGCATGACATTTTCGTTGTAATGTAACGTCCTCTTTGTGAGCCACTTGAGTCTTCAGTTCTTTGCAGGTAGCAGTATGTTTGATTCTGGTCTCTGGAACCAAGTTTTACTGTTCACTGCCGTACCTTGAACCGAGTCAAAGGGTTTAGCTTCCATAGAAGTCGTTACTTGAGCTAGTGACCCACCCAAGCGGAGCCCATAGGCGTGGCCCAATAACGATGCTTGGAAGACTCAAACCACACCGGCAAAATAAACCAATCTAGTTGTCCAGGACTGAGGCGGCCCCTCTGAAGTCTGAACTCTGAAGAAGAAGCCATATCTCGACTCCTTCTGTGATTAGGAATCAGTGCACAATGAAATCAAACAAAGAGTTCAAAGGAGACGGATTACTTGCCGGTATTTCAAGTTTGTATTGGTGTCGAACTCTGCAGTCCAGCTATATAACCGAAAATTTCCCTTTTTCTCACACCGTCACACGAAACACCTTAACCACAGTTCATTCAACCATGGAGTGGGAGAAAGATCCATGGAGTTGCTCTTGCTCCTCCAAGTCAGTAATCGAGACGGTGACTGGGTAGCACGAGTTCATTGTAAAGGGTTATTCTTTCGCGAAAGGTATGGGAGTGGGGAAGTACATGTCCAGTGACTGGATCATCCGCTTTTACCCGGATGGGAAGAAACTCGTGGATGGAAGCTCTAAATCTGAGTACTTTTCGTTTTCGGTGTGCATTGGTTTGCTCAGCGATGTTGGTGATACGCATTAGGGCCTCGTGTGAGTTTACGTTCTTGGACGAGAGTGGGAAAGAGATACTAAAGAGATTGTCCGGCCGGCCATCCCCTATAAAGAAAGGATGCGAGTGGTAATGTGTTCATTAATCAATGCGTCCATCAAGAAGCTGCTCTGATGACCTCATGAATTCTTGAAAGCTTGCTTTTTCAGTTGAATGTCAAGCTCGTATTGTTGTCTGTCGTTGTTGCAATGCCAGGGTTCTAGAGATCAAGGAAGCAAATCAAGCAAGCAAGTGTGTACAAAATGATTGCATCATCATTCGAGGCACTGTTCGATTTCTTGCGAATCGGCATGAAGAAGTTGAAGGGGCCAAGCAGGGTTCCATTACCGTACCCGACTCCAACTTTGGCCAGGGTTTCAAGGAGCTACTGGAATCTGAAGTTGGTTGGGACATTGTGTTCCACGTTGGCGATGAAGCATTTAGAGCTCACAAGTCGATTCTTGCTGCGCGATCCCCTGTTTTCAGAGCCCAGTTCTTTGGACCAGCAGGGGATCCCAACTTGAATGAAGTTACTGTGGATGATATTCTTCCCTCCATCTTCAAGGTGACCTTATGCCCTTCTCTGTAGGCTTGCATTTTGTTATGCTTTCCTTATACTGTCCCCTCTAATTTGCAGGCGATTCTCCGATTCATATACACAGACCAACTTCCTGATGTGCATGATATTGTTGGCTTCTCGTCATCCTCGTCAGTTGCTGCCAACATCACACAACACCTGTTAGTTGCTGCTGACCTCTACAACTTGGACAGGTTGAAGGTGTTCTGTGAATCCAAGTTATGCAAGGAGCTTACTGCCGAATCGGTGGCCACGACACTAGCATTGGCCGAGCAGCATCAGTGCGCACATCTCAAAGCTGTCTGCTTGAAATTTGCAGCACATCCAAAGAACTTGGGAGGTAAACGTCTGCTGTTAGTTCGTAGGTGCACTTCACAGTTCATGTTTCCTAAGTTTTGTCCATTTTCCCTATATTTGTTTGCTGGGATATATAGAAGAGAGCTATGGATATTTGCTATAGAACTCAACCCTCAATTCAGCTTTTAAGTAGTCAATTGATCATGGAAAGTAATATATGTTAGCCTCTGCATGACAGTGGTGATGAAATCAGAAGGTTTCAAACATTTAGAGGACAGCTGCCCGGCATTGTTGCGCGAGTTGCTGAAGACGATTGCATCAACAGATGATAGTGGGGCTAGGGCCAGGCCTTGTCGCAGTGAACCGCTTTGGCCGTCCAAACAAACTGCACTGCAAAGCTTGTGGTCTGAGATGTGGTCAACTTTTAGTATGGTTTTCGATTTGTGGCGGTTCTAACTGGAACCACGCAGTTTAAACTTTTATAAGAATCTCACTCACTGAAGAACAATAAGCGGAATCGTCAAAAGTGCAAATGGATGAGACACTAGAAATCGATGGTGGGCCTTGGTGATCGGTGAATTCCATTGACGATGGTGTATGAGAATTAACGGTTAATCTTGGGGTCAATTGCGTTGCAATTGGAGAATTTTAATTTGCGACGGTTTAAGTTTTTTATTAGAATTATGGGTCATCAATGTAGACGTTCAAACGTATTGTCAATCCAATCATACACAGTTCATATTAATTGGGATGACCATGTATGTTTCGGGAGCCACCGGTGACAAGATTTGAGGAAGAGAGACCAAAGTTGACAAAGTGGTTTATACCGTTGTGCTAGACATTGATGACAACGGGTCACGTCGTAGTAGAATAGTGCATATTTATTATCCTACTAGAAATAGTTTGGATTTTACTCATACTCATACCCCATATAAGAATAAAGTAGAACCATCCATACCCGACCGAGTTTCGGATATTCAAGATTATCCATGAAAAATAATATGTTAACAATGACACACATGTCCATCCATCACCCGCAATTTTCGGGTTCGGGTTTTACCCATAGTCATAAAAAATCTTCCAGGTTCAAATTTATCCACACGATTAGGTTGGATTCGACAGAGTATCCACGGGTATGATTATTTTCGACATACCTATCGTCAATTCAGAAATTGAAAATATGTAGAAGTGTGAAAAACCATTAACATCAAATAAATTTAGTCATATATAAACATGTTTGAAGACAATTTATTCACAATCCACATTCATATTTAAATAAAATACTAAATTCTAAATAAAATAACAAATACTCATATTTAAATACAACAAATAACCTAAATTTGTAACTTCTAAATTCATAAAATAAATAATTAAATTAACTGAAAAAATTATTTTACTTAGAGTTCGTAATACATGTCATATCAGTGGTGTTCATACTCGTTTATAATCAAAACCGGTTGAACCAGCCGACATTTCACCGACGTAACGTATTGGATCAAATTTTAAAGAACCGCGACATAATAATGAAAGATATCTTACCAAAAGAGCTAGACAGCCACGCGTCGCGGTGTCTGCAGCTACACGCCATCTCCCATTGGGGCTAGGGATGGCAATGGGTCGGGTTTTGCCAAACCCAAACCCAAACTCATGGGTTTATCCGTGAAAAAACCCGGGGTAAAACCCATTGGGTTTGAAAAACTCAAACCCAACCCAACCCGTTGGGTATCCGCGGGTTCATGGGTACCCACGGATTTTTGTCGTACAAATTTACAATAACAAGTTCCTATCAAAATTAAAGTCAAATATCAATCTCTTAATACAAATTATCCATATATAAAACACCATTCTAGAAAATTCAAGCAAATCACAAATTAACTATACAAATTGTTCAACACCAATTTATTAGAAAACTCAAGAAAATTGAAGCAAATCACAAATTATCCATAAATAACGTGATTAATTGAAAGCTTCTTCCTTTCAATTAAGTTTTTTCACTCTCTACTCGATAACATCAACTTAATTCTACACAATTAGAAAGAAAAAATTAGACATGTATCCACAAACATAAATAAGATTAGTTGCTTAGAATATCAAATATACCGAGAAAATTAATTATATAGGTGTGGGCGGGTACCCACGGGTCGGATTTACCTAAACCCAAACCCAACCCAATAAATAGTGAACGGGTTTAAACCCAAACCCGGCCCAAAACCCGTCAACACGGATTTTACCCGCGTTGACCGGGTTGGGTCGGGTGGGTACCCGTGGGTTCGGGTTTTGTTGCCATCCCTAATTGGGGGCATGATGCTGAAGTCCTCAAGTTTCCAGAAACTTCCAACTCCTGGCCAGAATTCTCCGCTGAATCTCCCGGCTGAAACTACTACACGTGTCCACCATACCACGTCAGCATCCAACGTGGCGTGCCGATTTCCGGAATTTGATACGCCCCTGCGCCGTCCCCTCGCCCCTCCTCCTCTACCTTTTTCCGGTCTATTTTGTCTTTCAACTCGATGAATTCACCAAATCCACCGCCCAAAACATCTTTTAGGTCTCCGGCAGCTCATCCCGATTTCCTCGTCGTCTTCTAATTCCCTACTACTTCCCTTAATCCCTTCCCTTCCCATTTCCCTTATCTTCTCTTTTCGGCGATGAATGGGGAAGGAAGAGAGGACGAAACTGCAAAGGACAAGGATAAATTGGTATTCATGTGCGGCTATCTTCCCGGAGCTCTGCCTGAGCGGTCGCTTATTTCCTCTCCCGTCGTTGTAAGGTCCGAGGGCTTCGGCTGGAAGGATGTATGTGGCGGCGGTTGCGGGTTCGCAATGGCCATCTCAGGTGCTTCTTCGTCCATCTGCCTTTTCTTCCTTGTTCCTTACTCTCATTTCCTTTTGTTTCTCTGCTCTATTCTGAGTTGTTGGATTCTCGAAATGGCGTTTGACTCGACCAGTTTTCGGAGCTGAATTACTTCGGCCATTTTGTTTATGGTACTTTGCGATTTGGCAATGAATGGCAATGCTATGACTAGCTGATGCTAGCTGAAAGATGTTCACTTTTACACATTTCCGAGTAGTTAGGCTTCCTCTGTATATTGGAAGGTTCTCAGAGAACCACGAAACAACAGTTGATTCATATGGGCCTAGTGACATCCTTGGCCTTGCTAAAAGTTTGCTTCTTTTACGTCTTGGGAGAATCCTGGGGACACCTGCTAAACTGGGATTGTCGAAATAGTTCTGATTTCGCTTAAACTCTATGTAATTCCTGCCTTGGTGACCTGAGCTTTTAACCTTACTTCCTGGAACCAATTTACTGGCTCTCAATCCCAAACTTGCTCTGCCATCCCCGAGAAGCAGCTATCTTGACTCCTTCAGCCAGATTTTAGTAGCCCAGTTGAGTTATTTGGTTCCTTGTTTCCTACAACTAAGTGCCCTAACAGATTGTCCTTTTAGACTCTGGGAAGCTTATTACGTGGGGTTCGACAGACGATCTTGGCCAATGCTACATCACAGCGGGAAAACATGGGGTAAGGCTTCGTCTTGCTTCATTCTGGAGTTACAATTTCCGGGACCTTTCTTTGGCTTGTTTGTTAGAGAGCTGAACTCCCTCTATTGTTTCCCTATTACATTTTTTGTCCGCAAAGGAAATCCCCAAGCCATTCCCTGTTCCAACTGATTCTGCCATCATAAAGGCTGCAGCAGGCTGGGCTCATTGTGTAGCTGCTACAGGTACCACACATGTTTTTGTTTTTCTATATCTAAAATGACTTGTCTCCAAGGTTCAAGCCCTTGTGCGTTGGATGTTCTTCTCCTTATTGTCATTAGCTCAACTCCTTGGAGTTAGTACTATGTATGTTCTTCTGGTCTGTACAAAAATAGGGGTGACACAGAGTTGTCTCGTCCTTCAGTTTTGTGGTTTCTGAACATCTGACCACAGGCTTGGTTAAGTCTGTTTTTGTTTCCTCGAGCACAGATGTTGGGGAGGTTTATACGTGGGGATGGAAAGAGTGCATTCCTTCAGGGAAAGTATTTGGAGACCCGTCTGCCTCCAGAAGATCGGAAAAGGACGTTTCAGAAAGACCAGGTCCATCTGACTTGGAACAAGGTAATAAATATAAGATGAGCGATTGACTCATGTGGATATACAATGTGGCTAGTCGACTGATCTTCGTTTGTATCAGTGAGCCCTCGTCCCCAAGCTGCCAAATCCAGAGGCGGGAAATCAGTTGCAGATGAAAGTGCGAAACGGAGAAAAGTATCAGGAAAACAGACATCTGAACCCTCATCTTCTGGGAATGAGTTGTTATCAGCAGTGCCTTGCTTGGTTACACTTAATCCAGGAGTAAGGATTGTCACTGTAGCTGCTGGAGGCCGCCATACTTTGGCACTTTCAGGTATTTCCTTATCACCCATGGAATGTGTTCTGCGCCAGACTTTGTGGCTGTGGTATCTACAGTATTAAACACCGTATATGAAGCTTGTAGATATGGAAGCTCTTGAAATGAGAAACAAGATTCTCGAGGTATCCTAATTTTCTCAAAGTCTTCAGATATAGGACAGGTATGGGGTTGGGGATATGGAGGTGAAGGCCAACTTGGCTTGGGCTCCAGAGTCCGAATGGTGTCGTCTCCACATCCTATACCCTGTATAGAATCTTCTCAGGGGAGAGATATATCTGGGGGCTATTCTCGAGCTGGCATGACTTCAGAGGGCCAAACATTTCGAGTTGTTGGAAATTATATTAAAGCAATAGCCTGTGGTGGCCGGCACAGTGTTGTTGTCACGGGTATGATTATGATCTTTTGTTTGCATCTAGCTGAATCATATAGTCTACTGCAGTACCTTGATTTGCCTGTATAGCTTTAGTCTGTGATGATTCCCATCTAAAGTTGCTGCTTCCACAGATGCTGGAGTATTGCTCGCTTTTGGGTGGGGACTCTATGGGCAGGTACTTATACGTGTTGCTTTTCCTACTCGTTAGAACTTCACTTTGAAGTTCTGGTCCTGATCTTTTGATCTATCGATCCTTTATTATTCATGCATCTCGGATGTGTGACTTAATAAGATCTTTGGATGCTAACTCTATCATGTCAACATAGCTAAAGTAAATTATTGACCAACCCTTGGAGGAGGGTTGATCTTTTGGCAGCTAGATATGCTGGGATTAAGTTGATCTCCCCACCTTATGGCTATTTTTACTTTCTACATAGATTGCAGTGCTGCTAAAGTTTTAACTCTGAACCGTCATTTTGTTCTACTCAAATTGGTTGGCTAAACATTCGTTGCCAATCTGTTTGATGCTGTTGTCAGATGAAATTGTAGGTAAGCTGAAATTGGTCACGATCAAAAAGCAAATGTTGAAGTTGGGAGATGATGTCCACTCTAACAAGAGATAACTACTACTCTTTTTATCTTCTTCAATCTTCATTAGTATTACTCATCCCTGCTATTAGCTTTTGATTAAGAGTGTCTTCTCTCAAACGATGTAGCACAGTAGCAGGACTTAATACCCTTTATATCTGTCACATGTATTTTCCTCCAGTGTGGACAAGGTAGCACTGATGATGAGCTGAGTCCAACCTGTGTATCTTCCATGCTGGGCATTCGGATGGCAGCCGTTGCTGCAGGGCTGTGGCACAGTGTTTGCGTTTCGGATGATGGTGATGTTTATGCGTTTGGTGGGAATCAATTCGGACAGCTGGGAACTGGTGTTGACCAAGCAGAGGTAGGGGTACCATTAGCCGCCTTCTATTTCATGTAGTCTGTACTGCCGCAATCAGTTTTGACATTCATCTGCATTTTTCTGCGACAGACAATCCCCAGGCTATTGGATGCTCCAAGTTTGGAAAACGAAAACGCGAGAACCGTCTCCTGTGGCGCTCGTCACAGTGCTGTAGTAACCGGTACGTAAACTGAACACGATTACCCGTCATTCCTGCTAGTCATGAACATTCAACTGACCATTTCAACTTGGCTGCCGTTGAAGTGGATGGGAAAGTGTTCTGTTGGGGCTGGAACAAGTACGGCCAGCTCGGACTGGGCGACGTAATCGACCGCAACATTCCTTCTCAGCTCACCATCGACGGCTACACCCTTAGAAGCGTGGCGTGTGGTTGGTGGCATACCCTGCTGTTAGCTGAACCCCAGCTGCCTTGAGGGGTTTGGCTAAGTTCTGGTCTGGATTCTGTCTTTCAGGTGAAACCCCCAATTTTGTGTTAGAATTAGAAGGCAGTTCGTCACCTGCTATTGATCTATGTAACACCGCCGCCAAAGGTCTTCCCCGTTGCACATAGATGGTGATTGTTGCCATGTACATACCCCGTCGACCAGTGTTTGACGTTTATGTTTTTCGTGGTGAACAGTAATACACGTCAGGGATTTGGCAATTTTAGTTCGTCCCATTTGACGTTATTTGGAGGTTGTACATAAGAGATCAGTTGAATTTAACCTGACGTGCATATCAGTTTGGTTTGATTGCATTATAGCTTCAGTGGCTGCTGACCCAATCACTTGTTTATTGTCTCTCCTGGTTCCTACTCGTTCTTGGAAGCCTACCAGCCAAATTGACCATCGCGAAGGTGGAGTTTGAACGTTGAATTGCAACGACTCTCCATTATATACCGTAAATTCAAGGGCTTGATCCATTGACCAAGCACAAAGAGCCGCCATCAATAGCCTTTGATATGGCCTTATGATTGGGCACAAAATGGCCTTATTCGGACAAGTTTGATCCCGTTTAAATATCAATTTGATTTTACAATATTCACAAAATCACAAAATATTTGGGACTATACGTATTATATTAGTCTGGTTCGATTTCATTTTCGATTCAATTCGATGCAGTTTGGTGGGAACAAACAGTTGCATATCTTTACTCATTGACACCATTCCATTTATATTTTTCATATATGGTTGTTTAGTATGTGTGTATTTTATGCATTTATAGCATAAACCTGGGAATGGATCAGGTCAGTAACCTTATGGTGGGTAACTATGAGTAACCCGCCCACATCAGCATGACATCAGCATCCTCTCTCTCCTGGAAAGCCTTTAATTTTCCCCTCTTTAATCTTTGACGGGCGATTTCTCACTCGTTTTAAGTCGAAATTTAATTTTTTTTACACAGTTAGATCAGATTAATTGTACTCTTCAAAATGATATCCACTTTGATATATTTTTCGAACAAAAAAAAATTGAGTCATTTTATACCAGTCTATACCATATGGTATTGACTGGTATTGAAATAAGAGCATACCTATGGTTTGAAAAGCGTACCATGGTGGTATGGCACAAACCAAGACTGTAGGATGATTGAATACATGATAGTAGAAGTATATTAATTGTCATTTACGACTTTTAACATTGTATACCATAAAATACCACCCCGTACCATGGTGGTATTGTATGGTATTGTGTGGTATTTTTTGGTCTTGTAATTTGTTTACCCAGAAATTTGTAGATCAAATAGATCATGATGAGCTCGTCCCTGCTGTGCAAACGTTTTCAAAAACGAATGAAAAACGAAGAAAATACCATATGGTATGCAGTTGGTACCGAAAGGCCAGAAATTTTTTTCCTCAAAAAATATTGAAAATTGATCTCATTTTGTAGAGCACGATGAACTCGTTCCATCTGTGCAAAAAAAAATTAAAATCCGAGTTAAAAGGAAAAAGATATGAGTCAATTAAGAAAACTAGTGAAAATAAAAATGGTCTTTAATTCTCCATCCTTAGATCTGGATTTTCTAAATGAATGGTCCAGATTTGGTTATTGATGGGTGCATAACCATGGGTTATGCACCCTATCTTGAGCCCATAAACCTAGGACCTACACAAAACGTTCTCGGAAATATTATGGTAAAAAAATACTAATTTGAGGAAGGATGACAAAAAAACCATACTCGTGAACATCCGTTTATATTTTACCTGATTGTGTAGGGTAAAATTTGGATTCGAATGAGTTTTAATGGGTATAAGTCTGAATTCGAATATTGTGCATGAGGGGTTGACCATTAGTTTTTCACAATCCAATCTGAACTCGCCCGATATGTGTATTTTGTTTAAAAATTTATAATTATTTTTTTCAACATATTTGATATTTATCATATATATGTAATACTTTCAAGAAATTGTGTAGTTTTTAACTATTTTTTTCTTTCAATTAATTCACTGTTATACCTTTTTCGCTTATTTAATATTTGTATACGTGTAACTAATAATATGTTGGTTAAAGTTATAAAGAGAAATTATCGTTCATTAATATTATGGATGACTCGAAACTCTATCTGCCGGGTTTGTTCGATTTTGATATTTTTTTTTTGGTAGAATGATTTTGATATTTTGTGGAAGTACAATTCGAACTATTTTGAATATAATAATAAATAGTATAGATCCAATACGTTCCCATCCCTAAATATGAGGTGCTTATATCCATTTTCACTTTTTGTTGGAGAAGTTAGATGGTATAGCATTAGCAGCCCTGCTACCAAAGATCTAGCAGCCGACCATCTTACAATGATTAATATAGTCAACAACCAGCCACGTCCAACTCCCGTTAAGTGCGTTTTGGAATCTCTACTGATCTCTGACCTAATCACAGACTTAACAAAGGTTAAACTAGTCAAACCTCGAAATGGTCCCATAATTACTCTCCACAAACTATGTAAACAAATCTCCTTTCTCTTCAACTACAATCTTCCTCATTGATTGCAATTAACACCTTTCCCGCTCAGCCCATTTCCTCGCAAGCCAACTAGAAAACAAAAACCCTCCTCGCATTCCACATGCTAATCTTCCATCTACCTCTTCCTTCCCAATGAACCCGCCGCCACCGCCGCAAAAACTCTTCCTCTTGCTCCTTCAAGCGGCGGCGCTTCTCTTGTCATGGACCGCGACAGCTCAACCGGCTGCCCGCTGCCCGGACTGCGGATCTATTCCCGTCCCTTATCCGCTCAGCACGAGCCCTAATTGCGGGGACCCTTTCTACGCAATCCGGTGCGACGCCGGCGCGCTGGTGTTCGATTCCGTGAACTCCTCGTATCCAATCATCTCCGTCAGCCCTTCCAATCAACGATTCGTAATCCGGCCGGCGGGATTAGCCCCCAATATGTGCGTCGCATCTGATTTAGTCAATCAGGGCCTCCAGCTCAACACCTCCCTCCCTTTCAACATCACCGGCAGCAACACAATTATGTACCTGAACTGCTCCGCGGCGGTGCTGACGTCTCCGCTCAATTGCTCCAGGGCCGGCCTCTGCCACGTGTACGCCAACGGCACGGCGTCTTACTCGTCGTGCCGCGGCGCTCCGGTGTGCTGCACTTTCACAGCGGGCGGGTCGACGACAGCTTACATGATCCGGGTTCGGGAGTCGGGTTGCAGGGCCTACGCCAGTTTCGTGAACTTGGATCCGGGTTTGCCCGTTGATCGGTGGCCCGACCCGGGTGTGGAGATCCAGTGGGCTCTTCCTAGGGAACCACTGTGTGGGTCTCAGGTGGACTGCAATGCAGACTCGAATTGTGGGCCGGACCGAAATTCAAGTGGGCTCGCTAGATGCTTCTGCAAGAATGGCTTTCAGTGGGACCCAATACAAGGAATCTGTTCCACGAGTGAGTTGATTTTTTTTCCCCACAGTCGAGTGAGTTGACATTGCAGAAGTCAAAGTTCAGGTTTAAGAAAACAAATTTTAATTTGCAGGAGCGACTTGTGAAGATGGCGGACATTGCGGTAGAACTAGAAGTAGAAAAGTCTCTCTAATCGCCGGTAATCTCGCCATTAATCACCTTCTTTTCAGTGATTGGATGACTAGTTTTGACTAAATATTAAAGTGTTGGACAAACAGGTGTGGTCGCCGGCACCGCCGCAGCCCTGGCGGCAATTGCCTTCGCTGTCACACTCCAGAAGCGTCAGAGGCGACTGAAACAAGCTCGAGAACGCCTCGCCAGAGAACGGGAGCTACAAATCCTGAACGCCGGCGGGAGCAGAACGGCAAAGATATTCAGCGGCAGGGAGATCAAGAAAGCCACCAACAATTTCTCCCGGGACCGTTTACTAGGCGTCGGCGGGTACGGCGAAGTGTACAAAGGCATTCTCAACGACGGCACCAACGTCGCCGTCAAATGCGCCAAGCTGGGGAACCCTAAAGGCACGGCCCAAATCCTAAACGAGGTCCGCATCCTCTGCCAAGTCAACCACAAGACCCTCGTGGGCCTATTGGGCTGCTGCGTCCAGCTCCCCCAGCCCGTCATGGTCTACGAGTACGTCCCAAACGGCACTCTCCTGGATCGGTTAACGGGCCCAAAAACCGGGAAAGTCAAACCGTTGACTTGGCTACACCGCCTCCGCATTGCTCGTGATACAGCCGAAGGGCTGGCATACTTGCATTCCTCGGTGGTTCCTCCGGTCTACCACCGGGACGTGAAGTCGAGCAACATTCTGCTCGACGAGAAGTTGAATGCTAGGGTTTCGGATTTCGGATTGTCTAGGTTGGTCGAGAGCGATCTCAGCCATATCTCGACGTGTGCACAGGGGACGTTGGGGTATTTGGACCCGGAGTACTATAGGAATTACCAGTTGACGGAGAAGAGCGATGTGTACAGCTTCGGGGTTGTGCTGCTGGAGATATTGACCGGGTTGAAGGCGATTGATTTCGGGAGAGGGGAGGATGATGTGAATTTGGTGGTTTATGTGCAGAGGATGGTGCGAGAAGGAAGGTTGGTTGAGGTTTTTGATCCTCTGATGATGGTGAGGAAGGGAACTAGTGAGGATGGTAATCATTTGGAGGTGGAAACGATGAAGTCCTTGGCTTTCTTGGGGTTGAGTTGTTTGGAGGAGAAGAGGCAGAATCGGCCATCGATGAAGGAAGTGACGGAGGAGATTGAGTACATTATTAGTGTTGCCATGGGTAGTTCTGATCCACAATTGTAGGTTGTGTTTTGTTAAATTAAAGTCTTGTGAGTTCTCTATGTAAAGATTTTAAGAAGCGGGTATGGATTTGTCCAAGTTTCGATCCATTTCCATACGCTCAGTCTATTCAGGTAGGATGAACACTACCCCATATCCAAACAATAAAAGTTAGTATTTGGTAGATAAACTATGTTAGAAAGAGGTTCAATGTTGTTCCTTCTTAGCCAAACTTACTACCAAAGTGCTTGAAATGTAATTGATGGAGCAAATAATCGAACTAGAATGAATTCTTGTATAGGTTCACAATGAAATGTATTAGGAATCTCAGTGCTTGAAATGTAATTGATGGAGCAAATAATCGAACTAGAATGAATTCTTGTGTAGGTTCACAATGAAATGTATTAGGAATCTCGGTCTTGTTTCTTTCCTTTTTCATTCTAGTTTTCTTGCTTCCTACGTAACTGTTGATGAAGGAAGTAGGGTTTGCTCCCCCCCTCCCTCCCCCATTTAAGGCCTTGCTAATTGTTGTCACATCTTCATATCTTCCTTATTGTACTCACATCAGAAGAAAAGAAAGAACTCTCAGCCGTGAGCTTATCGTGGTTAGTCTCGCTCATTCAAGAGCGAGAA